CCAGAAATTTAATGGCAATTGCATTTGTGCATGCTCACCAATTCGTTAATAATTTTCGGAGAATTACTAAATTATCGTTGCAACAGGCAGAATGAATGTAATAATTAATCCACCGCTACATTGTTAATCAACTGCAATTCGATTAAAATGATTTAATTAAAATTTTATTCCTCTTCCTCGGTGAAAATTATAAAATGCATGATTCATGCGCATCGGGGGATAGGGGGAATTGGGTGATGTAGAGGGGTAGGGGGTTGTAAATTAAAAATTGGAATTTAATGGAAATACATTCAGATTCATACATAGAGAATTCACATGTACAGAATTTATGTCAATATTCTGGATAGACACTGGCATCAATTTATTCCATTTCCCCCATTTTGGTGGTTCCCGTTGTTTTATTTCATGATGTAATAAAAAGTCATTTTAATTGAAAATTCCCGAGAAATTATTCAGTCTTTTTAAAAAAAAACCAGTTTCGTGATTCTACTGAAAAATTCATCAATGCTTTTTTTTTCAAGAGAGATTAATGAGATGAGTGCAGAGGGGCGATAAAAATTCATCGGAGCGTCGAATTTTTCGCGTTGTGAAATGTCATTTTTCTCGATTACTCCGACAATGATGGGAGATCCAATTAAAATTTTTTCCTACCCATGAAATTATACTTTTAATTACCCTCCCCATTGACGAAAAGAAAAAATCCATAAAGATTTTACTCCGTCAAGGAACGAAAGAGGCGAAACTGACAAAAAACCTTGACGACATTATTCGATACGGGAGGTTGATGCTTTTACAGTCGATATAAAAACCCCTGTAACTCGAGTACTTTGTGTAAAAATATGCCCAGCGATATTGCCCGGTTTCTCATAAAAAAAACTTGAAAAAAAAAGAAAAAAAAAAAACTAAAAATGTATCTGCATAACTTTTATGCCAGAAGCTCTCGCCGTCATCGTTAAATTCGCTCCCCTCGCCTTTTACCCCATCATTTTCCCTCTCACCGGGACATGTGCCATGTTAATTGCCATTCTTTTCCAAATATATTCATAAAACGTATCTCCCTCGTCAGTGCCATCTCATGAAATACAATACCATTTTATGACTTCAATTATCATCGACCGTGGAGTTGTAAAAAGATATCAGAGCACTTCTGTTTGGAGTTTGAAATTGTTTTTGAAAAATGCTGAAATTGAATATTCACTGTGCATCGTTGCATTAAGACATTTACTGGGGTTGGAAGGCAATCTCATAGTTGTGGGAGGGGAAACCATTTCAAAATGGCGAGGTGAGGGGATGAGAAGACAATGTTTTTCTGGTACTTCTGAAAGAATCGTAAATGAAGTTGTGAATTCGCTTCAAGTTCAATTCTGTTAAATGACTTATATATTTATGACGATATTTTTTACCTTTTCAAAATTACTCAATATATTTTTTCTTATTAAAACGTTGAGTTGCTGTTGGAATTCAATGAATTCTTGGTGATTCTGTTGAAAGCTTGGAAATTCCATCCATTTCATGCACATCCATTCATTTCATATTAAAATTCTCTTAATTGAATTCCAAAGAGAAATTTTTCATCGCTGAATTCGCCATCCAAATCCCCATTCCCTCATTTTTTTTTCAGATGGAGTTGAGGGAAATAGTTAACAAACATGAGAAATTACGAATGGAAAAAATAATCCAGGAGAAATAAATGGAGGACGTGGAGGCAGGAGAGAACGGTGGAAAATGAGGGGCTGAGGGAATGGCTTGAGAGGGGGAGAATTGTGAGTGAAATATGAATAATGCATTTCTCCAGTGATGCTCAACTCATTTTTAACATTTGAAAAGTGGTTCTGTGGAGTCTGGAGAGCCCCTGGAGACTAACGAAAAACTTTTTCCACGTACTTTATTTTTCTCGGGATATTAAAAAAATCTTAACTTTTCTCACCAGTATTTTTACTCAATTCTGCATCAGGAAAACAATGGGAAAGAATTCTCCAGTAACTTTAAACTTTCGAATTTATATTTGCACTTTTTTTATATCTCACTTCCGCGTTTTCCGAGGCTAAATTAATTGCTTATAAAAGATGCATGAAAGAGATTGTAACATTCAGGAATTGTTAATTCAAATCGTTTAATGAATCTCTCTTTAACAGTAGAATTTCCCACTTTTAAGATTTTCCAAATCGAAACAAACCATTTTAATTATAGGTTCTAATTTAATTATAGGTTTCGCTAAAACTAAATTATATTCACGTGAGATTTTAGGAAAAGATCCATTCACTTCATAGAAATATATATTTATCAATTATTTATCCAATCGAATAATTTCCAGGCAATTCCGACTAGATTCCCATAATAATTATTACTTAATAAATAATAAATACGAGTGATAAATTATATATAATAATTTATTACTCCAGTGAATGATCAAGTAAAAAATCTCGTTGAATAAACTCCACCGATTATTATTAATTTTCTCAAAATCCCGAATGCTTACCGAAAATTCGGAAACAGACGGACTTCTCAGATATTCATAATTATTAATCATAATAATTAATGTAGAGCACCAGGAGTTCACCTAACTGCAGTCTTTCTGAAAAAAAAAATATAAAAAATAATGATTATCTAATTATCTCTAGTTTGACTTCGCCTCGGATATCCGACAAGATGAATCGGCGTTTCCGGGATCACCAGGAGCAACAGTCCCTGGGTTGTTCACTTACCCTCAAGTCCACCCTCGACTGCACACACATGCAACGAGAGAGTACGGCACGTATCTGAGTGTCGAGAAACGTAAGCTGAGAGGCCACCCCCAGGGGCTTTAACCACTTCCATTCGCCTAAGTAGGTCTAGTTCAAGGTCTCGATGCTACGGTCAAGCAGGAAAAGGTTAAAGCGAATCATCCGAAATAGCCCGTTCCACTGCTCCCATTTATCCTAGGTGAAAATAAAATTGATATATAAAATAAAAAAGAAAAATACGATGAAATCAATGCCAAATGACGAGAGTTAAATTCACCACTGGAGTGGATCACAGAGGATCACTATTTTTACTTATCGATGCGCTCTACAAAGCAATGAGTGGTTATTAGAGGCATACACGTAGACATTGTGCATTGTGTACTTCAAATGAAGCGTGTGGTTAAATTAACCGTTTTTATTTACCACTAACAGGGGGAATTCTACCGTGGTTATGGAGATGTTACGTTCACACCACTGCACGACAAAGGACACTTTGCGTTAAGCGAAGGGCAATTTTCAACTGAGCAAGCAGATGACGGAGGTACGGATACATCGGGAATTATGGGAGGACAGTAGGAACGACTGGGGGAAGGAATCAGGTGAACAGAATCTTCATCAAGGCTGTCTAGAAAATGGCTTTTTTCTTATTATTTCATTTTTTTATCATTGTTCTATCGAGAGATATGAAGATTGTTAAAGAATTTTTTGGAAATTGAAAATTAGTTGTAGGAAAACAACGGATATTTCAATTATTTATTTGTCATTGATTTCATTTGAAAAATTAATGTAGGACATCTCTTTAAGAATGTCTCACACCCATATATCGCCAAAATTCATGTTTGTCGGATTTTTTTTTTTGGCTGATTGTTGATGGGAGTGATGGGAAAAAATATAACGTTTTTGGTTTTTGTCATTATTTAATGGCTCACGAAGTTTCGTGGTGGAGCGATCATTCTTAGGGGATTTGTCTGTCAATTTGTCAATTTTGTGATCCTTTTTAGAAGTTTAGAAAAAACATCATTAAACGGTAATTAAAGACTGGGAAATCGCAAAAATGTTTTCTTTTCATGTCGACCCCATTGTAAATTTTCCAGAGAAATAGAAAATAATTGATAATTAATAATTGATAATTGCATACCTAGGCAGGAAAAAAAAATGTCTCAGATCACATGAAATTGTTAGTCGAGGCGAAGCCGAGGCTGACAAACATGTGATCTGAGGTATTTTTTTTACCGGCTGAGGTGTGTATACAATTTTTCTGCTCGACGAGCCAGAAAATCGTAATTTCTCGGCCGCACGGCAGCCGGGAAGTTGCGACCTTCTGGCCAGAGAGCAGAAAACGTTAATTTTGGCCATATATCAGCACCTAACATCCTTAATTCTTCTGTGCTCCTGTTAAAATCTGAAGAAAATTGAAGAGAAATTTAGAGCGCATGCGGTAAAAATTTGAATCAAATAGAAGTTTCATAACAGGATCACAGGAGATGTGAGGAGTTGCCCGATGTTTTCCGCCATTTTGTCGGCCTATTCTCCAAGAAAATGGCGGAATACATGGATTAACTCTCCAATTAAAATATGTTATGATTGATTTTCAGGACTAAAGGCGCTAATTGGCGCAAATCGACGATGTGAATCTACTATATATTTATTCCTACCCATCATTTACTTGTAACAATTATATTGTTATTAAAATAATATTATTATTTAATACATAATATAAAATAAATTAAAAATATTAAATTATATTCCGCCCAGTAAATTCCTTTGTTTATTAAAATAACCTCATTAACCTCGTGATGGTCGAAATTGCCATCAATAGTAGAAGTAGTTATTGAACCTGGAGGAAGCATCAAGAATCAATTAGTCTCCAGTATGCTATCCCGAGATGCCCATCAGTCCACAGACGACATTGTTGACGAGATGATTGGCTCAGGGCGTTGGCAACTCCTGATAACTCTTCTTCTGAGTTTCAGTACACTAAATCACACACTGAACACCGGCACCGAGGCCCTGATGCGTCCAGACGGCTGGTGGTGCAAAAAGCCCAATTTTCTCCATCACTGGACTGATGTGCAATGGATACTGTACAGCCACACTGGAGAATCCGTAAGTAACTTTATCCCTCATTATTTGTGATTAAATTCCCATTAAATGTGCATTCCTCATTGCGGCGCAGTGCGTTGGTGTCTGCAATCGTAAACAGTGGGATCAGCAGTTACTCGCTGATGGTTATTTTCAAGGTTGTGAAGTTTATGAAATTGATTACAGTGCGTTGATTAATTTGAGTTACGCAGATAGACCGACCATTGATACCACCAAAACCGTAGCTTGTCCTTACGGAATCCATTACAACACTGTTGGCGGTCAGAATTTAGCTGAGAAGGTAATTGATTTGAGAAAGTTTCACATATGATGACGAACAATCACGAACAATCACGAAAAATTACGAACAATCCTCACATAATGATAACAATAATCAAATGGTCCACTCAGTTCAATCGGGGGTGTGATAACGGAAAAATAGTGTCACGGCTTTGGCAGTCATCCAGCGCATTTGGAAGAATCATTGGTTACATTTTTATGGGAACCCTCAGCGACTGGATCGGCCGCAAAACCGTGATCTTCATCTCCTGTGGAGTAGCTCCAATTACCGCTGCTATGGTTGCGATATCACACCATTACGTACTCTTTATCATATCAAGTATCATCAATGGTTTCTTCGACGGGGGATTCTCAGTGTGTCTCTTACTCATTCTGGAAATCAGTACCAACCTCAGAAGATCGGAGTTACTCGTCATCGTGTGCTGCTGTTTTGGCCTGGGAATAGGTAAAAAACAGTTGAAAAGGTCTTGCGCTTTTGAATTTCATCGCTGAATTCCTCAGGGATCCTTCCAACATTCAGGAACTTCTTCAAGTCCTACGACCTAATGCTGGTGTCTACCAACGCCCTGTTCATCCTCATGTTCCCGTTCATTGGAATGATCCCGGAGTCCCCGTCTTGGCTCTTCTGCACGAGAAGGCTGAGTCAGTTGAACAAGACAGTGAAAAAAGCTTCAGCGATGAATGGCAGCTCGATTCCTCCAGGAGTGATTGTTTACCAGAGCAACGAGAGGCTCCAGCTACCTCGAAAGAGGCTCCAGCTTTGGCACATCTTCCTGGAGCCGGAGATAGCCTGCGAGATCATTGGAATAGGATACCTGACAGCTCTCTTCGCTCTCATATTTGGATCTTCTTATTACTCGATCTTGGCACATGTGACTAAATCGCAAGTAGCCAATGCTCTTCTCGCTGCTGCCACGATGGGGGGCATGTTGTGCGGTCAATTCTGCATGCTATTGATGGGACACAAAAAGATCCTACAGATTGCCATTGCACTGGTCCTCGTGAGCTCCTTCATGCTGATCATTGATCTTCATCAGTTGAAACCTTCTAATACGGGCCCTACCACTATCTTGTGGCTCGTTAATGTGAGTGTTGTCAGTCTTAGTTACGGGGTTTTACTGAATTACAATGCAAGGACTGTCCCGACATTGTTGAGGTAATTTGATGGTTTAATTGATTAACAAATCCCTCGATAATTAGAGATTAATTATTGAAATTGATTGTTATTATAGATCGATTATCTTCGGTGATATTCATGAGAAAATTTAGATTCCAGTATTTTCATATTCATTAATTCAACTTGATTAATTAACGATTGAGTTAAAAATATGCAAAATACGAGAGCAATGGACTTCTTTAATCTGTTGTAAGTTGGAAATTGCAATTTTTCAAGGGGAACTCTATCTGGAATCTGGAAGAGCATCTGGGCCCTCTTCGTCTGGACCGGCAACTACGATTACGTAAAGTTCCCAACAATGGCAATCTCTCTGATAATGACCTGTATCCTAGCTGCATTATTCAGTCTAAATCTCAAAGATTTATACCACCGTGAATTGCCAGATACAATTGAGGATTCAGTTAATTTAAAAATGTACTCGATTACACAATTTTCCATCGACAATTCATTAATTGACGTTCAATTATCGACAGAAAATCCAAACCTAAACGCTGGCTCGTGGAGGAGAATCCAGAGCTTGTTGACGACGAGGAGAGGTTTGCAGGGAATAGTGTAAATTTCTTTCAAAGATTCAGAAAGAATTCTGTTCAGCCCAAAATCGAATCTTAAATACTAAATTATGCATGAATGCATTGTGCATTGTGTAATCACGAAAATAGAGTGGAATAATTTGAATTGGATTTCTGGATTTAGAAAATATTTCTTCATTACGGCGGGGCCTTCCAGGTTTTTCCCAAAATACAACTGATGCCCGGAGAGGATCAAGAAAGGAAAGACTAAGTATAAGGGTTCAGGGTAGAACGAGAAAATTACATTGCTCTCTGAAGAGGAGTTTAACCTGAACCTCGCAAGTAATAGTTACTTCGTTGTAAGTCTTCATTCAGAAAAGTATATCTTGACTGTCTAGAGTCAAATAATTCCAAATAATAACTCTCAGTCTTTAAAATACTGAGTGTTCATTTCTATCCCCATAATCCAATAGTTAACTATCTCTTTACCCCCGTTTTATGTTTCACATTTGATATTATATATTTAACGGTTACTGTAATTATAATCCAAGAAGTGAAGGGTAAGCCTAGTCTGATGTAAAACAAACAAGACATTTGTAACATCAAAAGAAAATAAATAGAGTGGAATTAGTAGTTAACTATCGTAAAGTGAATAGTTCTTTCCCAGAAAAGATCTTTGCTTTACACCATGTCTACCTTCTTCTAGCGTTTTCGACTATCAGCTTGAAAGTTATGGAAAAATCTCGACGGATAAGCTGTGTCTGCTGAAACTGCGACAAAAAATGTTACATACTTTTTTTTTAAAGGGATGAGAGATTCTGTTGAGTTTTTATTTCAGACGCGGCAACACCGCACGCCCAATCGATTCGCATACATACAGAGGGTTGGGGGCACTTTACTGGTCATCTGACCAAAGACCACTATTCTTGTTTTTTCACACCCTTACAGATTACCCCCTCATGATTAAACAATTTTCATTAAACAATAATAAAAATTGAGAATTATTTATTATGTTCCTACGTCAATTCTATTAACCGCTTCTCAGAAATTTGTGAAGGAAAAGAGAAAAATGAGAGGAAATCGGCAATAATTTCTCGATCCGACACATTTGGTAATTGCGCCTCTCAAAATCGTCTATTTAAGAATGTAGAAAGTACTCGGATATCCTTAATGTGAACCCTAAGTCTCCACTCTCTTCCCCGTCTCCTCAGCAATTTCAGTGTTAATCTCTCAGCATGATTTATCCTCATAAATTACACTTGTAAATGACGATAAAGCGATCAGATACAAAGGGAAACAAAGGAGGTAGACAATTTACGAGAAGCTCAGTAGATCCAGCCCTTCGCTCCACCTCAGCCCATTAACCTTGACAAACGTTTCGAATTCCGAATAAAATTTTTATTACCAGTTGTTCTAGGAATCGAAAAGTTACGTAAGACAATCCCAACAACATCTCCCGGGAGTGGTGAGCCCTGGTTAACCCTCTGGGTATATATTTTCACAGTTGATCAGACGCGGCAACCCAGAGTGAAACAGGTGGCACCTGCCGTCGGATCCAATTCCTGAGGATGCTGACGATAGAGATCATCGGGGGAAAGAGAAACACGAGAGATCTCAACCGCATCAGTTTAACCCTGAGTAGCAACGAAAAACCGTCAAAGGTGAAAAAAATAAACAGTCAAAAATAATAAAATAATAAAAAAAAAGGTATAAAAATCAACAGATATGTTGGTAGGTGCACGAGCCAGTGGAAACAGGTGGCCAACAATGCGGAGGCGCCCGTTGGAGGGTGAAACTACTTCAGTCGAATCTTTTGGTGAGAGGGGGAATCCCCTGCTTGCCAACTGACGGCATCTCGTGCCCGCAACTCTAGACCCGTTTTCAGATTCTACCTTGGGTTATTTTTGATTGTGCCCGTTACCTTCATCTTTATCAAGTGGTCAGAGACCAAAACAAGGGACTCACCACGAAATTTTCAAGTCTTGGTGATGGCTACCGGTGATTTTTAAGATGGCGAATGAATTTTCCAGGACGGATGCATGCGACTGTTTGGATTGCACCGAGGATGCACGCACGTGTCGAAAACAATTAGTCGATCGTTGCGATGATGAAGAATTTTTTTTATAGGCGATGACTTTGAAATGTCGAAGCACCGAAAGGCTGTCAGATTAAATTAAATTGTTCTTCAGTAAATGTAATAATGATTTATTATTATTATTGTATTATTATTACGTTATTGATTATAGGTGTACACAAAAATGCTCATTAACAGCAATGTCATTCTTTTTTTTTAATTAAAATTGAACCAATCTCCCATAATTAAAAATTCCGACACACAAATCAATAAATTATTGAATTCCGTAAACTCACGTCCTTTCACCTCGTTATCATCAAATTCTCTCATCACTTATTCAATAATGATAATTAATTTATTCAACCGATTTCTAGGTAATATCCAAAGGACAACAGCAGTATGATCACCGGTGCATTGCATCTACCCAAACCACCGGGATATTTGATACTGTGCCATTGGTGAGTGATAAAACTTTGAATCCCATTGCTGATTCGATTTTAACGGGCAAAACTGTCGGTATCCCATCCACGGAATGCTCGCTTTAATGAGCCTTATTACATGCAAATCGACCGAATTATCCAACCGGCTGAACCACACGATTCATTAACCAATCATTGTATGTGCACGTTGCATTAATCTCGGGTTAGTGGAATTTTATGAAATTCTACTCCAGTTATTTTTTTGCTTCTCAAGAATTTCGGTGATTTTTGTTTCATCAAATTTGATATTAAACTGTTGAGATTAAATTTTTACCCCTTTCCCTTTTTCATTCTGGCAGTGATGGACGATTTAAAGGTAATATCTGCCGGAATGTACACGTGTGGTACTTGCCCCCATCCCTCCCACCTCATGAACGATGTTATGAATAATTTATGAAGACACATACACACAAAGGCATCATGAAAGATCTACGGTCGTTAAACTCAAACGCTCAAGGCTATAATTGAGAACACTTTGCCAAGTCAATCATTATCGGTAATTGGTTTATTAGTCATTGAGCTTCAATAATTCTTTCGGGATGAAAATTTACTGGACTTCATCTAGAATTAAAATTACCGAAGTCTTCAGATTTTTATGGGATTTATTTAGTCTCCGGTGTTGGGTGCATTAATTATTGATTGTTTTGGGGTGTGATTGGAGAATTTTTAAAGCTCATTAATTTTTTATCCGTGGAATTGAGGAATTTTAAGTGGTAATGGGTAATTTATCTGGAGGTTTCGACTTGATGAGGAAAGTTTTCATTTTTGGGGGAATGTCCGTCTCCTTCTGGGGAAATTTAAAATCTTCAATTTGTATGTTTAATCAATTAAATGATAATGTTAATTTGTAAATTTTTAACATTGAGAGTCAATTGGTGATTCAGTAGTTGATTCAAACCATTCCCTTTCCCTTCATTTTTTATCAATCGGATTGAACGATTCAAATAGAAAATAAATAATTCATTACTACATTTGTTGAATTAATTTTCCCCTGAATAGTTGACACGACAATGTTTAATCCAATTATTAATAAAAACGGAATAAAATCCATTCGATAACATAATTAATAAAAATCAATCCAGTAATCTGGCAACTCGAAATTTAATGAAGTAGTTGATGATTGAATAATTTCCACAATAGCCCTGCAGACACCAGCTCCACCCGCACTAATTTTTCATCCCCTCCCTGTGAACAATAACGTAAAACAAATTCCCAGTATTTTCTGCTATCGACAACAATTCAATCCCTGATAAATCGATAATCAATATCCTTCAAATAAAAATTCCATTGTTCATGGATTCTACACGAGAATCCTCTCCCCAACTCCAATTGTAACACCCAGAATAGCATAGCACGGGGTGGGTTGAAAAGGGGTGGAAGGGGATAGAAGGGTTGATGGAAGACGAATGTATAATTTATATTTGTCATTCATCTCCGTCTTGTTTACCTTTGTTATTTTCCCCCGGTATTGATCCAGCCGAGAGTTTCGAAGAGTAAATGGGTTAGGGGTGGGAGAACGGGTGGACAGACGGGGGTGTGAGAGGGGGGCAGGGGTACATGTCGACGAAAAGAGAGGGGAGAGGTATGTACACAGACTCCTCTCCAATTCTCTTCAGCTCCCCTCTCCATCCCCTCCTCCAACATTTTCCTTCGAGTTCCGCGAGTTTTACCTCCCTCCGCGATCCCCAACCACCCACCCCCAATACGCGCAGTTTGAGTAAACAGAAAGTTTGAGAAACGGATAATGTCCCGGATAAATCAAGGAAATTTGATAAATCAACATGGCGTACACAAGCCCAGAGGCGCCTTTTGCTTTTCGTCGCTAATTATATTCAGAATAGTAATTGTCTTCGTGTAATTTTACCCTTGTCTTTGATATTTCTTTACTTCGCGGATGGGGGAGGGGGTGGATCACGGGATGAGTCCTCGACACGTACACGAGGTGATACATCATCATCAGGCTGATGTACGAGGGAGCCCGCACGATGGAAACCCAAGTGATCCGCTTGACGTTACAGTGAAAAATGACTCTGATGCATTTTGCGATTTATTGTTTTTTTTTTTCGGGTTATTCAACTTTTGCGATTTCTTGGTCTTTTTGGGGATGAATTGCTGAATATTTCTGCATCAACATAAATATTTACTTTTGTCAACTATCTATTTATTTATAACAATTCTTTAAATTCGAAAAATGGGATTTCCCCGATTAATTAGATTTTAGATAAACCCTTTGGTTTTAATTCCAATCATTACTATTAATTATTGTCAGCATTTATTGTTGTTTAATTGTAATTAAAATTGTTTTACTCTAGAGGATGATTCTTTGGGAGAATTATTTTGGACGAATGATTGATATTAATTATGATTGAAATTACGTTGAAGGTAATTAACATCTGATTTTCAAGAACAATATATATATCGTTTTAATGGTTGTAATAATGGAAAGGTATAAACGGAAATTGGGAATCATCGAAACACTTGGACGTGGCTAATGCAATTAGGGGACTAATCGAATTAATCAATTAGGAGTGAATCGATTAATTAATAGAAGAGAATTCATCGGTTGTACGACATTTGCAGTCTAGGTGCCGCACAGATTACCACAGGCCACGTATCTTCACAGTTGGAAGAA